TTTAAAGTTGCTACAAAATCATCAATTATTTATTAATTAATCATTAATATTTATTAATTAATAATCATAGCTATAAAAATACAATTTTTACATTATTAGGTTGAGACCAATCACGAGTTAACCAAAAATGAAAAATCCTGATAATATTTTTTCAGGATTGATCCTTGTCTGTGTATCTGACATCGCGTAATCAGGAATTCTTCACGTTCGATTTTTTGTCGCAATTCATCGGCGCATCTGGGAAATTAAACGGAACAAAATGTTAGTAATGTGCAACATAATTTTACATTCCGTTATATCTTGGTACGGTAACATCAAGTGACGAAGTATGTCTAAAGAATTTACGTTAAGCGATGCATGTCTTGCACATTTCGAACGATGTCAAGCGTTTATTAAGTCAACTTTTCCATTTTCCGATGACCTCGCTACGATCTAACATCGTGTACATTTATGGCGTTATCGCATGCATCTTTCCGAAGCGACTAATAATGCAAATTGACGTGTCGCATTCGACCTTCCTATCTACCTACTGCAGTGTTTACAATATACATAATCTTGCATATTCGAGCGAAATGATATCTACGGAAATGCTTTGTTTTTGAGAAAATTGTGTTTTCAAAATACTTTAACGAAAAAATATTCGTTATCTAAAATATTTAATAAATTATCTAAAAATAAAATTATCTAAAATATTTAAAGTATATACCGCGATCATATTATTTTCTTTGCTGAATAGTTAAAAAATAGTTAAAAAAATTAATCGAAACGTACATTTAAATGACCAATTATCAAATTTTTTTATAAAAAATATTTTGCATGGTTTAATATCAACAAAGGATCTTTTATTAAAATATTAGCGCACTGTCTACAATGTCGATTCTCACTAGCCTTATAATTTTTTCCTTTTTATCATATTTGAAAATATTCATGATCGGTGCGCTTATAACATGATAGATAATTATTTCATTCTAATAAACAGATGAATATCATCGCAATATTTCTGCATTCTTCTTGAAAAAAATCTTATAAATTTGATTTACAATCTTAATGAATTATAGATTTATAATCGGTTCTTATTTTAAAACCATCTTAATGTCTTAAGATATTAAAACGATATGATTGACTTATGATATTTTAAGGCTGTATTTAAAACAGTCTTAAATATATAAGAACCAACCATATATGAATACCAGCCATAGAACGCCGCGTGCATAGTAACTATTAATTTTTACAATTCACATCCTTGCAAGAGCATTAATCACATGCGTGCCTACATATAGTCGATTATTCATTCCGGAGTCAAGAGATCGCGTGATAAACCCAGTATGTCGTAAATTTTCAGAAGTTCGTGTGTAACATAACGAATTTATTGTTTGGTCTTTCATGATATTTATATCGGTAACGAGAACATTAATCTCGCATATAGAAAAACAATATTAGATCGACATAATTTATTTTTACCTGCAATTATTTGGAATAATTGCACTGTACGAGAGAGCGAATTTTCTTTTCTTTTCGCAGAATGCCAGTCTCGAGGGTATTTTAAAACCATGTTTATGCTGTGATGTCGACGCATTCAATTAGACGAAAGTGCAAACGTGACTAACGACGGTTTACGACAGAATAGGTGAACGAACTTGAAGTAAACCCGCCCGGATGATTTGTACGGTTAGAAGAGCGGAAGAGCTGTGGTCATCGCGCCATGTTAATATCGCACGTGCATAACACGTGACGCGTAACGACCCGCGTGAACATCACGACGATTTATGGTGACTGACAAACCGATTGTCCCAATCGACTAATCTGTTTTTATCTTCCCTTCGTCCTGTCAATTCTCGTGATACATTAGAAATTTGCTTACGCAATCGATAAGAACTTGAATATGATGGATAGGAGATTTGATCATTAACTAATTGTGATTAATCTTTTTATTCGATTTTTTGTTGTATGTTTTATTAATATAAACATCTCGAGGTCAAAAATTTAAAATAAAAGTGTCGCGTGTTTTAGAGTACGTAACGCGTTGCGTTGCCGAGAAAATCAGGAGTGCAGAACGTGAACTCTGTTGATCAATGATAACGTATATTTGCAGATATTAATTGAATTATAGAGAATGAAACTTGTTTACAAAAATCTCGTTTATTAATTGTTTCTACGACGAAGAAGACTTGCAAGTTGAAAATTAAGTAAGATAAAAATATAGCGCGATCATTTCATAATTATGCAAGGAATAAGGCGCATTGAAGCGAGGAATATAAATTCACGTCCGTTATGTTATTAACAAATCTATCCTCATAACGATGGTAGATGAACCCGAGATTTCATGGTGATGAGATCATTCTCGTGATTATACTGGAGCTTGAAAGCGCAGATATTTATCATACCATTTACCACACTATTTGTGAACTTTAACAAATTGTATGTTATGAGTAGCTTAAATTCTCATAAAAATAATTACATAAAATTAACTCGTTTGACGTAATAATTTTTTATTACAATAACATTAGTGCAGTACAATTTAATGAAATTAATTATAAATAAAATAAAATAAAATTAATATAAAATTTCGTAAAATTGTTATTATTTAAAATTTAATCTTATTTATTTATTCACTATTCAATTTTATAAACGTTATCTTTTTTATTTTCTAATAATACGTTTTACATATTTTATTTTATACTTTTTTTATTCTTATTTAAGATGAACAATTACAATCTCGTGAATTTTCATAGTAAAATGAAGTGGTGGAAACTATAAGATTTGAAAATAAAAAAGTCTATCCCTAGACATAGATATGTCTCATGATCTATATCGTTCATATACAATCGAACTTCCTTTTATTTAGTTCCAATTAAAGCGGAATATTGATAGCAGAGTTTTCTTGTTCTTTCTCACACACATACAAAAAAAAGTTTTTCTCAAGATTCTTGTATATTTTGTTTAAATAGCTTTATCATTAAATAAATCTTCCCTTATTCGATTATACAGCTATAGATGGTATCGATAATTCTGTATTGTGTTACTTAGTATTCCAATCAGCTTATTGCATAAAAGTTAAGAGTTGCATATTTATGTGATAATTTACAAATTGCGAAGTACGATTCTTTGTTATTTCCAAATTAGCAAAAGATTTGTATCATTAAAAGATGCATAATTTTGTATTATTTATCATTGTTCGATTATACAGCCTATAGATAGTATCGATAATTCTGTTACTTTGATTGTGTTATTTAGTATTCCAATGAGCTTGTTGCACAGAAGTTAAGAGTTGCATATTTATGTGACAATTTGCAAATTGCGAAATACGATTCTATGTTATTTCTAAATTAACAAAAGATTTGTATCATCAAAAGATGTATAATTTTGTATTTATTTATCATTATATCATTATTAATCAAGATAATTATTCTTATGGTCCAAATCTGATAATTCATTTGATTTACATTTGGCATAACACTTGATTAATTAACTTTGATTAATTAACAAACTCATAGATTTTAGTTTTATCAAATATACAATGTAAAAATTAATATTGATCTTGTTTGATTTTATAGTGAGATGGTTATCTTGATAAATCATTACTCGTCATTTATAACTATTTCTTTTGTAATGCATGCTAAGTGTTTTATTAGCATACAGTGGAAAGAATGAAATTTTTCTGCCAAAATAGTCATTTTAAAATAAATGCGTCGGAGATATTATTTGTATATCGTATTTATTTATATACATCGAAGAGACGAGTCTGTCCTTGAAAAACCGTTAATGTAAATACGTGCATATTTTTATCTGTTAAATGTATAAGTGTGTACAAAGCGAATCACGTTATGAATGTATAAAACCATGTATATAAAAATGATCGTGAAATATGATACAACATAAACGTGAAAGAACATGACATTTAATGGTATATTTATTTTAAAAAATAATTTTCTTTGAATGCAATGATTTTTTAGATGTAATAATTATTTTCGAAATTGTAATAATTTAATATTTATATAATAATAATTTTAATTTATCCACTTTGAAATATTAAATTTTTTCTTCTATGTTTTTGATAATTTTATTTGCAAAGATTAATACTATACATATACGATGAAAATTGATGTAAAAATTGACATTATATTATTTACAAGAAAAGAATATGAAATTTCCCTTCAACTTGACCTCGTGGGGTTAACGTGATCGATATGGTGGCTGTTGTTGCTATTTTTAAAGACATTATAGTGTGTCATCGCGTATGTCGTTCAACGACATTCATTCTTCATACAATATGCACCGAATATAACATCAGCGTGTTAAAATTTAAAAGCACTTTAAAAATATTAGAAACAACATTACATAACATTTAACATTAAAATATTTTAATTAGTACATTAAAATTATAATATTTTAATTAGTACATTAAAATTAGTAATTAAAATTGAAAAATTACGATACATGCAGTGTTCATTAAATTTCGTTTCATTAAATTTTGCTAAAAAGCTATGGATTTCAATTTCATCAAGGGTTTTTTTAATACAGAAATAGGATAGCTGCTTCTGTTAGTATTTATTGTAATAATAAATTTTATTATTTCTGGAAGGAAATTGAAAAATTACATATTATGATGGAGTCTCATTAAATTTTCACTAAAGATATATAAATTCAATTTCAATTTCATTAAAGGTCTTTTCAATTCAGAAAGAAACGAGATCCTTCTTTTTAGTACTGATTACTGTAATAACAAATTTTATTATTTCTGTAAGAAATTTGCTCATGACAATGCGAGTAAAATATAATTGAGTAATTTATTCAGTAAATAAAATTACTGTTGCTAGTTGTTATTCATTCTTTTTTTATCGTTTCTAGGAGATAAAATTTTCCTCGCGTGCGGAAACAATGTATTATTATCGAAGGACACTGAAAAGTGGCTGCTGCGCGAATTGCCGGAACTATTGTAAAAGCTCATGGAATTGAATAAGCATTCAACAGAGAATAACAATTTTTTTCTATCTGCGCAGAATCCTGGGTGGAGTTGGTGCCGGACCCGCCGCTGGCGACCCGGACAACGCCGACGCCGTTTAGCATTACCGGCGAACGTGAATACCTGCGACTTCTCAGAGAAGCACAGAGAGATTCTACACATTCATCCGCGAAGCATTCCCTGGCGTCTTCGCGCCGGGACACTCCGAGGGACAGGTAAGACTTTATTTTCCGGATTTTTTATCTTCCAAGTGAGTTGGCGACGTCTCGCCGAAAATCGCGTGGGACACATAACTTTTCGATACTTTAAGAACTAGAAAGTAAGCGATTTCAGAGTAAGATACCGCTTTTCGAGAAGTTTGGAAAAATCTTTTCGATCGTTGATTTGTCAGAAATCGAATTAAGATTTTCGGAAATTACGACGATTAAACTTGGACAGTTCTAACCAAAGTTCTAACTTTCTGCAAAGTTTATACAGCCATAGTACATAAAAAAAATTAAATAATAAGATTTAAACAGTAAAAAAAATCAATAGATTTGTTACTGTTTACGTTATGATATCTACTTACTTTACGATATCTGATCGTGATTGCTTGAATTGTAATGCTTCAATTTTTGTGTGCCATGGCCTTTAAAGTACCCTTCATGCTGATATTCAACTAATTTTTAGCGTCAAAATAGATCGTATAATAAAAATTGATGAATATCAAACGTCACTTTTGACCTATTTGGCGTTAAAAATGAACGTTGAGTATCAGCATGAAAAGGTACTTTATACACCAAACAGAGCCAAGCACGTGGGGATTCGAAAGATGCTTTGAAACAGTATAAAGCCAACTCTTATAATCTCCAGACAGTTTGAAGACTCGGCCAACAAAGCCGGCCATTCAACTATATACCTATATTCACGCAAGTTCTCGGTGCGCAAAAGACGACGTTTCCCCTCACATATCCTGCATGAGTATAATGAGAGAAAACGTTTGCTTCCGTTCCCTTTCCTTCTTGAGAAGGACTTCGGAGTAAGAAAAGAAGCGTCGTGACTCAGAGGCGAGGAATGACGATCCGTACACATGGAGAACTATTTTTTTTTTTTTTTCGTCGCTTCATCATCAAGCGTTAGGGTGTGGCTCAAGGTCATGTAGATAAAAGCTGTAGAAGGCGAGTACCCTACTGAGTACATTATAATTTCGCTTAGCGAATTGCGAATTATATACATAGAAATAACTTTAGAATAAAAATTCAAAATTCAAAATAACTGAAAGAATAATTCCTTATTTTTTGAATTTTATGATGCACAGCTAATTGAAAGCAAAAATTCATACTATTTTTTTAGAGCAAACTTTTCATAAATTCGAGCAGAATTTAGTCGATATATAATTATTATAATTACTACATTGTTACCTGCACTTTTAAATTGATTTTAAACAATGCGTTAAATTAATTTTCAGTCGTGGCGCAATAATCGTAGCAATGTTGTGATCATGTCGCAATAATCGTAGCAATGTCGCATATCGCTCGTAAACAAAGTTATAGTTACAAGTAAACATTTATATTTTTACTTTTGCTGTTTAGACGGCTGAATTAACATATGGCTCTTAACTTAAAATAACGTCATTGAGAGACCCGCGTAAATATCTTGGCAGGAGAACAACTAATATGCGTTTGTATGCTTTGTTGCTGACAAAGGAATGTAATTCGATATCTCTATGCACAGATCTATTAAAAGTATTGATCTATTAAAAGTATTAGTTGCTGATTCTTTGACACAAAAAAATTTTTAATGATTTGATTTGCGAGAAATATTATACACAGTATTCAATCGCGTCATAATAAAAAACATTGATCTGTAGTCATCGTGTATATGCTTTGTGTTTGTATGTGTTTCTCTAACAATAAGTAATATTATCTCGAGCATAAAAATCACGACTGTTATTAACAATACCTGCACAACAATGAATATCCAGTTCAATCTCGAGATATTCTGCGGTATGTAATGTCGTGCATATTGAATTATTTAATCCGCTTTATGCTTAGGTCTATTAATGTAAATTAATTTTAATCTCTCTTTAATTTATTTTTTATCCTTTTCCAATTAATTTAAAATTAAAAACAGATTAAAAGTAAATTAAGTCTAGATTAAAGTTAATCTACATTAATAGAAGTAGTGTATCTAGAAGAAAGTTAATCTACATTATTTACTGCGTCGTCTATACACTCGGCATTATCACTCGTTTTCTTTGTGAACAAATTTTGAAGAAGAAAATTAGCGTAAGCTATTTAACAAGTTTGACAAACGACACGAATATGATAGTTATTAACGTTTTAACACAGGGAAATAAATATAAATTTATTAAATATCATTCTTAACGAAAAATTTTATCATTATTATGCATGAATTAATAAATTTTGATTTTTTAAAAAGGTAAAAAATTATAAAAAATTAATTTTTACATAAATATACACTGTCAGAAATGTAACCACGAGCTTCCTTTTATGTAAATAAAACTTGTGGTTATGAAATTAAAAGTAATAGTCTAACTGAAAATTAAGTTATAGTAGTTACTTAAATGTAATGAACGTACATTAAATTTCATGTACACGCAGATATATTTTTCAGTTATAAATAATTAAAAAATTTTTAACAGTATACACACACATACACACACATACACACACACACACACACACACACACACACACACACACACA